CCCCAAAACCCCAAAACCCCAAAACCCCAAAACCCCTAAAATATAATTTATATTGAGAGATATATTAATACAACATGAGTTTGCGAAGAATTTCAAATTGTCGCATCAGAGCACGAGAGCAGTCGCTTAACCAGAAGATCACCTATGAGCTATCCAAGACATTACCTTTTCTAAAAAAGCAGAGTCGAAGGAATCGGTATAAATCTCAGAAACAAAGTTCACTTGCATCAATTAAAAATCTTCAGGTAGACAACTATCAAATTTTATAAAATTTCTACCAGCAAATTCTTAGGAACTACAAGTTGCTAAGTCAAAGGGTGCTTAACAAAATTATTTTCCAACTTTCTGGAATGGAATCAACCATTTTCTTGAGAATGTGCTTCTTGAGAAAGTGGAATTTTCATGTAATTAAATAACTCAAAACTGGGATAAATCTCACACCACTATAGCAAAGCTGCTTCACTAACATAAGAATACAAGAAAGAGAGGATACTTATGACTCGAGGTTTCATTTTGGACATTCTAAATCATTCAAATTGCCTATAAAAATCCACCAGCCTCAAAGCAGCGAGAGTGAAGACATAGTGACAATCAGGCCATGTAAGATTCCATGCTCATTTCTTAGACAATAGCAAAATGATGCTCAAACTAAAAGAAACGGGTTCATCTAATGGCAGTAGGAGCAACCTGAAAGATTTTGAGGATGACTCCTACAGTAACTTATTTCAGAACAAATATGTGCTGAAATAAGAAGAAGTTGATTAAACAGTATCTCAAAAAGCAGAAATATACATTTGCGAGAGAGTTTCCTCTCCCTCTACTCTCCCAGACAAGTAATCTTTGTTCGCTAATTCTACAGAGAAGCAATCTGCATTTGACACTCCGAAGAAATACATGGGTAATGCTTGCATGAAGCATGAAAAAGAAGGATTCATGAGAAGGAATAAGCTCCTTCTTGAATATCTGATCCATGAACGCCTTAAGAAAAAGAAATAGACAGAAAATTATTAATAAGGTTTATCCTCAGAAGGATTCATCTCTAGATTGGGGTTTTGGGGTTTTGGGGTTTTGGGGTTTTGGGG